AAAAGACAGATGCACCCCTATGTTTATCGCAGCACTATTTACAATAGCCAAGAAATGGAAGCAACCTAAGTGTCCATCAGTAGATGAATGGATAAAAAAGAGGTGGTACATATACACAATGGAATACTATTCAGCCATAGGAAGAAAACAAATCCTACCATTTGCAACAACCTGGATGGAGCTAGAGGGTATTATGATCAGTGAAATAAGCCAGGTGGAGAAAGACAAGTACCAAATGATTTCCCTCATTTGTGGGCTATAACAACGAAGCAAAATTGAAGGAACAAAAAATTGAAGGGACTAGCAGTTACCAAAGGGGAGGGTTGGGGGAAGGTGGGTGGGGAGTTAGGGAGAAGGGGATTGAGGGGCATTATGATTGGTACACATGGTGTGTTGGGTGGCATCATGGGGAAGACAGTGTAGCACAGAGAAGACAAATAGTGACTCTGTGGCATCTTACTATGCTGATGGACAGTGACTTCAATGAATTATGGGGGGGACTTGATGATATGGGTGAATGTAATAACCACAATGTTTTTCATGTAAAACCTTCATGAGAGTATATATCAGTGATACCTTAATAAAAAGAAAAAAGGAGTCAAGAAAGAAAAAAAAGCTAGAAGAAGAAATTAACTGCAGTGCTAGCAGAAAAGAGAAAATAATAAGGATTAGGCAGAAATCAACAAAAGAATAAAAAGCAATGGGGAAATTCAACAAAACCAAGAGATGGTTCTTTTAAAAGATCAATGAAATTGACAAACCTTTTGCTAGACTGACTAAGAAAAAAGAGAAGACTCAAATAACTAAAATTAAAAATAAAAGACGGGACATTAAAAGCAATTTTAAACAAAAAGGACTATTAGAGAATATTATGAAAAAATGCACCAACAAATTGGATAATCTCAATAAAACAGATAAATTCCTAGAAACATGCCACTTACCAGAATAAACTATAAAGAAATAGAAAACTAAAATACGATACTGATCATACATGAACAGATGTACAACTAGTAAGGTGAATAAATCAATAGTCAAAAATTTTCCAACAAAGAAAAATGCAGGACTACTGTGTTGAAATCTACCAAACACTTATAAGGGAATTCACACAAATCCTCCTCAAAATCTCCTAAAAATTTGAAGAGAAGGGAACACTTCCTAACTCATCTTATGAGGCCAGCATTACCCTAAAACCAAAGCCACAAAGATACTATAGACCAATATCTCTGATGAATATCGATACAAAAATCCTCAACAGGATACTGGCAAATAGAATTCACAGCCCATTATAACGTATTATACACCATGACCAAGCAATCAGTACAATACACTACTTAACAGAATGAGGGGGAGAAACACATGACTATCTCAGTTGATGCAGAAAAACATTTGACAAAATTCAACACATTTGCATGATAAAAAATTAGGAATAGAAGGAAACTACCTAAATGTAATGAAGTTCACATAATGAACGTCGACAGCTAATACCCTACGCCATGGTGAAAGACCGAATGTTTTCTCTTAGACCAAGAACAAGACAAGGATGCCTTCTCTAGCCTCTTTCATTTAGCACAGTATTGGAAGTTCTATCCAGAGAAATAAGGATAGACAACATGATTTTATATGTAGAAAACTCTAAAGATTACACACACACACACACACACACACACACACGTATAAAACTGTTAGAACTAGTAAGTGTATTCAGCAAAGTTAAGGATACAAAATCAATGAGCAAAAATCAACTGCATTTTATATACTACCAAAGGATGATCCAAAAATGAAATTCAAAAAACAATTCCATTTACAATAGTCTCAAAAAGAATAAAATACTGAGGAGTAAACTTTCTCCAAGGAGGTGAAAGACTTGTACACTGAAAACTATGAAATGTTTCTGAAAGAAAGAAAACATAAATAAACGGAAAGACATTCCATGTTCATGAATTAAAATGCCTTCATACTGCTAAGATGTAGATACTATCTAAAGCAATCTATAGATTTCAGACAATCCCTATCAAAATCCCACCAGCATCTTTTTTAGGAATAGAAAAATCCATCCTAAAACTCACATGGAATCTCAAATAGCCAAAATAATCTTGAAAATGAAGGACAAAGATGGAGGTCTCACATTTCCTGATTTCAAAGCTACATTCATCAAAACAGTGTGGTGCTGGCTTAAAGACAGACATATAGACCAACGAAATAGAATAGCAGCCAGAAATAAATGCTCACAAATATGGTCAAATGATTTTAAACAATGGTGCTAAGACCATTCAATGGAGAAAGGACAATCTTTTCAACAAATGATGCGACAAACCCTGGATTCCACATGTAAAAGAATGAAGTGACTTACATGTTGACAGAATCACATAAAGACGTGGGTTGTGGAGTCATAGACCATTTCATTTTCTTCTTTACTTACAGTTTTCTATATTCAAAAAGTACTTAACATTAATTTACCGATCAAATGGAAGGGGATTCTGGGAGATTAGGGAAGGTGTGTGGCTTCAGTGGAAGCTCACGGAGGTAGTTCTATCCTAGACAGAAAAGCAGGGGGCCTGTCCTGAAGGAGGACTTTCCCTCCAGAGGCATTTCCAGGGGATGCTAGTTTATGTTATGGCAGAAAAGGGTTTGGAGAAATGGCTTTGGAAAACTCTGCGTAAGTCTTGATTGTGTGACTTTGTATCTTTCAAACATAACCATCCAAGTGGGAGAGAGATGATGCAGTGTTCCCCAGACTTATTTGACCCTGGAGCCCCTTTTTTTACAGATTACCTCTAGGGTGTCATGGAATACACCTTGCAGAATGCTGCTGGGGGCGAAGAGTTACTGGCACAAGCATTTCTGCATTTAGTTAGCTCAAGCAGGCAGTGGGCAGAGCGGCTGGTTGGCTGGGCGAGAGGAGGTGTAAGGAGATCCAAGATCTCCTTTAATTCTCCTGTTACACACATCTGCTGCCCCTTCTGGGCTACGGCGTCCTTATGCTCAGAGACAGTGATTCAAACCAGCTGCCCCTGGCATCCACTGAGAGCATGCTGATGTGCCGGAGTGGCATTTGACATTCTTGGTTCAGAGTGGCATTAACATCAGTTGTTGCCCAGAGACCCAGCCCACTGACCTTCTCCCTGGGCATGAACCGGAGGGCAGCTAAGGTGCAAGAGGTAGAGTGGACAAACAGGATTGGCAGCAGGGGAGGAGGTGGCCAGGCCTGTGATTACACAAGCCCACATCACCTTGGGCCTGTTAATATTAACTCAGTCTCCAGCCTGGGAGAGCGTCATCAATCTCCAAAGTCAGGGCCCTGACCAATATTTCTTTGCTCATGGTGCTGGCTGGATCTTCAGTGATGCTCACTTGGCCTTAGGTTGTGATCCTGCTGAGGCCCTCACACATACGCAGCTTTAATCCACTGTGGCTACACATTAGAGGCATGATCCTTGCACGGGACAGGGCAGTGCCTGGTAGAGGACTGAACATGAGCAG